CATGGGAAAATCACCATGGGACGCATGGGAAAATCACCATGGGACGCATGGGAAAATCACCATGGGACGCATGGGAAAATCACCATGGGATGCATGGGAAAATCACCATGAGAAATTTTCTCATGGGATACCCTAATGGGACACTTTTGTAAGGGATGAGGCACTTTAGTAGGCACAGTTTGATATTTCAACTGGCAGATCTGTCTTTCCAGATCTCCCCTAGTTTGGTAGTATTTGTACGGGCCATTTCTATTTGTGTTATCTCCTTGCTACAACTAATTACGTCATTTAAATCAGCACCAAGGTTTATAAACCTGGATACTTGCCTAATCTCATTGTGTCCGATATAGATATCTGTTTGAATTTAAGATTTTCTCACAACCACAACTTTGGTCTTACTGTCATTTATTGTCGACCCATACCATTTTTTCTTTATAAATGTTTTCCTCCTCCGTCAGGATTATCCCTCTTTCAATCTTTATTGCACCAATCTTTGGAGTAAATGTGTTTGTTATTTCCTTTATTGCAGTGTAATGCCTTGCTGTTGCATGGTACCGTACAGTAGTCAAGCTATTAACATTTCTAAGTTTGTATTGCACATGTTTATACCTCGCTTGTGGTAACCATTCACTGAAAATGCTAGAATCCTTTGAAAGGAAAGCAAATAGAAGGGAGGATTTTCTTCTGCGCATTTCAAGAGAAACAAGATTACATTTCCTCATAGCATTTTCATAAGCAAGATCAGTAGACCCTAGGATAATTTTTAATGTACGTTTATTTTATTTTATTATTTTTATTTTATTACACTTTTCCACTTGCTATTTAACCAAAAATTAAATACATTATAAAATATTTTTCAAAAAGGAAAAAGAATTGAAGTTAAAAACATATACATTAAACAAATGACAGCGCACAACAAACAGGTGACGGATGCAAAAAATGAATATGCCTAAAAAGCCAGTGAATGGCAAGCTGGAACAGGTGACCAGCACCTCTACAGAGCCATCCTACCACATGGCTCCCCCCACAAAAAAACAAAAAACAAATATGAAGTGGAAAAGACTGATAGAAAATGAACAAGGAGAGATAGAATATGAACAATTTCTGGATTCCTTCACATATTTTTAGATAATACATTTTTCCATTGGCTTTGTTATAAATAACATATTTGTCCCATTTAAGATCTGAACTAATCCAAACACCAAGTATTTTAGCCCAATTATTGGTATTCGGTAGATCGGTATTCAGGAATTGAAGTTCTTGAAACCTACATGTGGGCATATTGCATATGATATTCATATTAAAACATTTGTCAGGACTAATTTTCATAATTTTTCAGAGCCCAGTCACTGAATTCATTCCAGATGACTTGAATAGTGCATGTGTTACATTGAAAATTATTCTAAACTAGTGTCATATATCAACATATTTTAGACTCAGGATCTTGTCTTAGGTGTTCCCAGAGCAAACAGCTCTGTTGAATTTGGTAAAAAACCCACAGGTCCAAATTTTGTTCCCTATGGAAGACCCGCTGTCAGGATCATGTCGTTTTGCATGTGTTTATATCTGATGCACTAGGATCGTTCTGTAAAAAGTTACAGATACATGGAATTATTGCTGGGTGTACTCCCAAATACGACAGATCCTTGATAAGAATGTTGCGATCCACAATATCAAATGCGTGATTATTACAGTAGGCCTACTGTAACTTTGGACAGTTCCCCATGGAAGCACAAATTATCAACAAGCTTTACAAGATAGTGGGTTTCAAACTGCCTTTCCTATTTTCCAAACTGACTAGGGTCTAAACTCACTTGGGAATTTGACAAAACCCCCCAAACAACAAAATGTTCAGCTATATGTAACTTAGCAAAATGATCAGTTAAAGAAATACAGTAGTCAGAGTAACTTGGACTTTACCATGTTGACAAATCCTCTTCTTAAACATTTAGACATGATCAGCCCATAGTAGATCCTGAGATCACCTGACCATGTCCCAATGTTAAAAAAGGCAAATTGTAGAGTCTAAAATACTCAGACTATTAAAGAATAGGTTGGACCTTGATCCATGTTGGAGGAAGAGATACATGTAGGAACACCAGGCGTGATAGGGCATAGGCCTACCTAATTGCTTTTTTCCAATGATTTGGAACTCCTACACCTTCTTTGTAAGAGACATTAAGAATATGCTTAAGGGATGATTGATTTAAAGGTTGATTAAGCCTTTTCATCCCTGCATTCATTCATTTCCAACTGATGTTTCACAATGTACATGAAAAGAAGAGATAAGTCAAACATTATCCACAAGTCACCATACATATAATTTGCACACTTAGTACTTTGACCAAAATTTGTTCTTAAATAAGCTAAATTTCTACTGGCTTCATTCTCAGTAGTTGAAAGTTTGACTAAAATCCTACATGGAATAACATCGGATGTCACAGAAGTAACAGGACCAATGTCATTTGCAAATGAGTCAGATCGACTTCAATTTCTCTTTTTCATTCTCCTGGATTAAATCTTTTTTCACTTCAATTTGAAGTTATATTGAGGCATGAATTTTTATTCTTTCAAATAAGTCACAATTAGCATTAATATGAGTTATTTCTACGGATATTATGACAAAACTTCTCTTTCTATGTGTGTCTGAAAATGTCACAAAATGCAGTGCCACTGAATCCATGCCCGTCACCGCCGAGGGGAATCTCAAAATTCCAGGCACACAATACTTTGTTAGGCTCCGTATTTCTGATTAAAGCCTTCAATATTTGGCAAAAGTTGGTCAAAGTCGTCATTGGTGCCTGTATCAGATGTCAGACATCAATCATGAATGAACAGCGATTATTTATCCATTTCCTAGATAATTTCAATCAGTCCATTTTTGTATTTAGTCTGTAAAGTAAAGCTTTATGCTCTGTTGACATTTTTCTTGAATCCATCCTGGAAAGCTTTTATTTTGCACATACATGTGCATACAGAGCCATTTCCCAACATCATTTGTATATTTTGTGAGCTATTTAATTCCAAGAAAAAATCTTTTAGAAAGGGTGATTCCCACAGTCCTAGTCATCAGACCAGTCCTTGCTTTTTTCTTCAGACGACAGATGCTGGAACTAGCATGACACAGGGCATTTCCTCACTTGTGCCCTGGTAGCGGCCACAAGTGTGTGTACATGTGTAGTATGCACCAAATTGAGGGCAAAGGTCACTGTGTACACTATATCAGACGATCATACATATTTAGCGTTATTACTTCATACATGTACTTGGCTCTTAAATACAAATTGTGCTAATCTACACATATATCTGAAATTGATGAATTTGAATTTCCCTCTTTTTCTGCAGAATTTGAAAATAATTGGACTTGATTAAGTTCCAGAAATTATGACAGGACGATGATAGTAGTATGCATGCAAATTCGTGTACATGTACATCAATCGTGAAAAATACATAAAGAAATCAATGAATGAGGTCGTGATGACATCATTTCAGAAATGCAATCAAAGATTGACTGTTAATGAACTGAGTAAATTTCATAATGATCAGACATTGCCTAACACTTTGAATTAAAAATCGTACATTATGACGTCACAAGATTTTCCAACAAATAGGTACACGTATCTAATAGACCTGCTGGAGGTATAGCAAAGGAATTTTGAAAAAAAAAACTTGTTTTGTTTAGGAGGTATATCAAAGAATGTCAAAATGACAAAAAATTATAAATCGTCAAAAGCAGGTGGTGACATCATCATGACTCAATTTTTCATATATCACATTTGGATAAATTGTGTAAAATTTCAATCCACTGCAATAAATGGTTCCATATACACAAGCCCGAAAAGAACTCAACTTTGTGGGTTTGTCACATGACAAGTGATGATGTCATCATGAAGGATATCTTCTAGGACCATCCGTGGATGGTGGTCGAAGTATATGCAAAGTTTGAGGGCAATCACTCTTACTAAAGTGCCAACGTACTATGACAGAAGGATTACAGAAACACCGAAAATATGATTTTTGTTAAAAATTGGATTTTTTCTTAATCACGATGTCACTATTCTGTGGGATATTTCCATTTTTTCAATCAGGTTTCATGACCTAAAGCATGTCCGTCTTAATCCTATTAACACCAGCCTGTGTACTTTGGAGAAGTTTACACCGAAAAATCTGGTCTTTTGATGCGGGTTATGTTTTGACCTAGTAAAAATCACCTTAATTAACCCCTATCCTCCCACCAGGTGCACTGATGTGTATAAATTTGTATTGTGCGATCACATATTTTTCGTCCTCTTTAATCCTAATGTTTTCTAAAAAAAAAAAGTTACACACCATCTGTGACATTGTTCATTGTTAGAACTGAAGAAAAAGAAAGGCTTTTTGAGGGGTTTCTGTTCCTGTCTCTTGAAAAGTGTCCTATACTTCACCATCGCGAACCACAGAACGAAAACAATTGCTGCTTCGGCAGCGTAGCCGAAGCAGCTAAAAAGTCAGTAATGATCGATCATCGCCAGTAAATTAACGTCAGTGCATCAAAAAGTTTACAACGTGAAAGTTGGATGCGTGAATATTTGCATGCGGATGAATTTAGGGTACTCCGCGATAAATGTGGATGGGATAGTGAAGCAAATGCTTGTCACCCTCGTTGAGTATGGACCGGACCCAAAGGTCTGCCATCATGGGCCCTAATCTACCATTCTTGCGGTCGGAATGTCGTCACTTATTCTTGATGCTTCTCTGATTGGTCAATGGCTAGCCTAGGCTATTCCGTATTTCACGCTTGAATTATTGACTAAAGTCTTGACCTTTTTTCACAATTTATGCGCTATAAACATTTCCCACACTGTACTGAAAAGGTTTCAGTTATTTTCATCGTATTGCTGCCAAAAAAAAGGAAAACGTGCAAATCCCTGTAGAAAGTGAATGGAGAGTTGCCCCTTTGCCCACACGTCGAGTGCAGTAAATCAAGGAGAAAAGAAAAGTCTTTTCTTTCCTCCATGAATAAATGGAGAATAAGCAAAAACACACCGACTAAACTCGTAAAAAGTAACTGTAACTAGAGCTTACATTGCAAAACCTAATCCTGTGGCTTATGGGGAGACTTGTCATGAGTCAGTTGGTTGGGCTAACACAAAAACGACTTCACTTCGAGTTTCGCCTCAAATTTCCCGGGCTAGTGTCGACATACATGTATATGTACTGCCCTGGTGTACTGTAGCTGACTCAGCTGCTGCGCTGCGCGCGGTGACGTGAATGACCGCGGGTGTCAGGTTGGCAAATTAGCGCCACCTAGAGCTACCCGGCAGAGGTCCAGGCGGTCATGAGCCTTCGCAATAACGTCCCCAGTGTAAGTCTTCTGCAGTGGTACCCATCCTATTTCAGGTTTATATTTGCGTGGGATCGTTCACTGTGGAAACAAGTCTGGTTGACCCCGCCCAGTGCCCTCGATCTCGACTTGTACTTCGGATCGTCATGGCACGGCGCCATGTACATTGAATAATGTACACTGTATATGTATGCACATCGTGTTCAACAACGCAACGCACCGGTCGTATCCATCAACAGTAAGCAACAGTTACGTAAACGTTGTTAATTACAATAAATTCTCTACGTCTCCAATGTTGTAGGCCTTCAAAAAATTGAAATTGGCACCATCTTGGGAGGGACACCGAAAAAATGAGAACCGTGAATGTGAACATGGCTCTCCGTACGAGAGCTGGTAAGAATGGTACGGTAATTCTGCAAGTGCCAGGGAAAGGAGCGACCGAGACGAAACAAGTGCTGTACGCGGCGGGGGAAAAAGGCAATGTTACGAACGGTCAGATTGGAAGAGTGTTGAATGGAACGACCAAGACCAACGGTCACTTCTCTCCTGTTTGTAATGGCCACGCTGTTGAAAAGGCTGTCGACATCGAAGTTGAAAAGGTGCAGGATTTGCTTAAGCCTTGGCGTACTAGGACATGTACATGTAGGACTGACTATTTTGGGGGTAGGGCCTATGGCCTATGCGGGGAAAGGTGAATAAAAAAAAAATTTGGTGGCTGACCCCCATAAAATTAGGCCTATGTAACTTGCACGAGTAGGCAGGCCCCTTGTGCCCCTGGCAGTAGGGGATTTCATATGTTTAATGCCTGAAGGCTGAAATCCAAACTTCATCAGGATTGTCACAAACATTTAAATCCTAATGAGTAATAGGCCTAGGCCCTATATTCTGAAATGAGAATGACTCAAGAATTTTACTTACACCCACGACACTGTCGTCATGACTTATGGTCATATTCCTCCGAGTTAGAGTCTGAATTTTCATACAAGAAGGGGCGTACCCTAGCTTTCCCAAACGTATATTTTCCGATGTAGGCCTATGGCACCTTGAAAAACCCAGCCTGTGGGATTGATCTGCTGACTGGATGTCTACATTTAAAAATGATGCCATTAACGAAGGCAGTATGACACTTCTTGCATCCGAGATGAAGGTACCCGACAGGTGCCATAAATAAATGCATAACTCATAGGCCTATGACACGGTCACAATATTGATCAGTATTGAGTTAAGTGTGCACTTTGCTGGTGTACAGTACGCCCACAGCACGTGTATGTGTGTGGAGCATGGTACTTACATGGTCCTGTTTGTTTCACGCGGATCTGGATCACGATCAGTGATCAACTTTGGTTCACAGACACCAGAACCTGTCTAAGGTTGCACTACACCAAATACGCCCCCATAGAAAACAGTGCAAAATCAAACTGAAATAGCACTGCCTGTTGACTCTCGTGAAGAGGTTGGCCTCCTTTTTTTAACTGAAAATTCAAGATTATGGCAAGAAGATCACTTTTCTTTTCAATTTCATGGGAGTTAGCCACGAAAATCTTTTTCTATTCGCCTTTCATTAAGGTACCCCCAAAACAGCAGTAAAACTAAGCGCTCATTTCTTAATGTAGTTCCCAGCGTCTATCCACAATAGGCCCGCAATTTGGGGCTTTTGGTGAAAGAAATACCCCGAACTGGAAACTACATGTATCAGTCCAAAATTTGGTATTTATAGAAATATTTGTATGATGCCTCCTGATTATGGCATGTCTTATTGTAAAAATTCCGTGGGATCACAAAATATTAATGAGCTCACGCGCAGAAATACAACCCTTTAATATCACCTCAGGGACCGGTTTGGCAGTATTAAAAAATGGATTAAAGCAAAGAATATCTATCCGAAATATAGAAACCAATTTCAAAAATTGAATACGCTTTCTTGTTTTTCTGAAGAAGTATAATACAGTTTGTCTGTTGCCACTGAATGTGGCAGTGTTTTGTGTGCAATGACAATCTTATTTTGTAAACAAACTGAGAAATCAAACATCTGCAAAACTGCGGGACACAGAAAAGAAAAACTACCAGAAAGAGGACAAGCAGACGGAATTGTTGATTGAAGCTTTCTAATTTCTGTTTCCCTGGTGTCTTCTTCCAGTTATTATAGGACAGAATAGTCAATAAGCCCTTCCGAGAGACACGGTGTACATTCCTCTGATCTTTGGCTATAATTGTTACTGTTTTGACAACCTCCAAAGACAAAACTGCTCATTTCTCCGCCCGTAAATAAAAAGCACTAAAAAAAAGAACAGGGCACCCCCTTTTGGTCTGTTGCCATGGGCGCCGCCATCTTGTCTTTACAGGTTGCACTACACTAAATACGTGCCCATAGAAAACAGTGCAAAATCGGACAGATATAGCGCCGCCTGTTGACTCTCGTGAAGAGGTTGGCCTCCATTTGTTTTACTGCAAATTCAAGATAATGGCAAGAAGATCACTTTCCATTTCAATTTCATGGGGGTTAGCCATGAAAATATTTTTTTATTCGCCTTTCAAGGAAGATACCCACAAAACAACAGTAAAACTAAGCGCTCATTTCTGAATGTAGCCGCTCGCCTCTGTGTAAAATAGGCCCACAATTTGGGGGTTTTTGTGAAATACCCCAACTGGAAACTATCAGTCCCAAATTTGGGATTTATAGAGATATTTCTATGATGCCTCCTGATTATGGCATGTCTTATTGTAAAGATCCTGTGGGATCACAAATATTAATGAGCTTGTGTGCAGAAATACAACCATTTGGTGGAATGCACCCCTAATGGATAGCGCGAAGCATGTTTGGGATCACTGGTCACGACCCAGATCCGTGTGAAACAAATGGGCCGAATGCTATTCAAATTTCATTTCACTAGTTCCCTGTTCATCTGTCACGCGAGGACAGACTCTCAAGGTGATGGGAACCAGTTTCATATGGTACAACCTATACCAGAGTGTCTGTTGGGTGCCTTGAAATCCAACACAAGAAGCACTGCCTTCATTGGAAGGCATTTTTTTCAAAATGGCGACATCCATGGTCACTCAGCATATCAATACCCGAGGCTGGGTTTTTCAATGTGCCATACCTGTACATCGGAAAATATATGGTTTTGGAAAGCTTTAGGGTGCTCATATGAAAGTCCAAACTCTGAGGAATACCGCTACCACAGTGTAAGCAAAATTGTTGAGTCATTCTCTTTTCAGAAGATATACATGTATTAGGATTCAAAGTTTGTGACAAATCATGCAGTTTGGATTTCAGGCATTAAAGTCATACCGTGAAATAGGGCTGTGATGTGATTCAAAAGAGGGCCATCTGCAGCCCTACATGTACATGTGGGGCTGAACCCCCAGTGCCTTTCCCGTAACTTGCCCCAAGTGTGTAAGGTCAAGTCCACTGAGTTTTTAGTTTAGCATCTTTGGGGTCATTCTATAAATTAGGGGTGATATTTTTTTCGTGTCCATGTCATGTCTGACATGATTTGTAATGAGCACATTCTGCAATTTCCAAGAGTAATAAATTGATGCAAATTACTTGCCAAACAAAGCGAAATAGTTTGAAATCAATTTCAGTGACATTTACATGTATTTCCATGTAAAATTACACAGGTCAGGTGTAATAGGGACACAAAGAACTCACTCTTTTGGACCCCAAATTTATAAAGTGACCGTTATGGGTTTTTAAAATCCAGCCACGATAGATGAAAACAGCAAACTAAAGTCAATAATTCCATTTTCTGAATAAAATCTCTCCCCAAAACCTTTCCAATGGATCCTTTTCTCTAAAATGTCATGATGAAAGTTGTTTAACATTTTGGCAACAGTATTTTCTATTTAATTTCTTTTTCAATAAAAAGATTTAGGGTTGGTGCTAGGTTGGAGCAGGTAATTAGAAGAATTTCTTTTTCAATAAAAAGATTTAGGGTTGGTGCTAGGTTGGAGCAGGTAATTAGAAGTAGGATTATGCTTGACCTTATCAAAAATATAAACATACAAAATGCATTTAAAATAAGGCATCCTACTCGTACAGTGTAAAAATTTCTACGACTGGCAAAAATGTTTTCCCAGTAGATGCTACTTAATACTATTGTCAGATTTTTCTAGATTTGTAAATGGTTGTTGCGAAAAATTACTGCCATGCTTTACATTTATCTTTTAAATGATTTGAGGTGATAGTGAAGTCAAAAATACACCAGAGTTGCATTTGAAATGTGCAATCCTTGACAAAGAATGAAACAATAATATTGAGCCATTCCCAAGAAAATTGCTAGAGTTTTATGAATACATGTACTTGTATTTGGTTATAAACGTATTGCCTTCTTGCTGGCCAAAGTGCCCCACAAAAATTCCAGTTTTCTGGGCCAGATTCACCTTGCCCTAATTTACCTTATCCATCATGTCCCTCTGTGCAAATACATTCATGTATGTTAGCCTATTACAGCCACTGAAATCCTTAACTTTACTGTACATGTAGTTGTTTTTACACACATTGACTTTTTTAGTGACAGTTATTTTCCACTTCATACCAGCCCAATCGATTGTCTTAATGTTTTGCTTTTAATACACACATGACGGCCAGGTAAAGAACAGAAATGCAAACTGAATCTACATGTAGCTTGCGATCAATTCTCCTTTGTAGCGGTACATACACACACCATGGTGACATGTTCGTAGGTACATGTATGTGTACATGTACTAGTATTGGTACATGTACAATGTACATGTATGACCAATTGAATCTAGCCCCAGTTCAGGAGTGCACGGATACTTGGAGCAGCAACACCAACAGTAAATTTAAAATATTTGTATTCATACACTCAAACTCAGAAGTTGGTGGTGCCTGAATTACATATACATGTATGTTATGTGTGTAAAGCTGTGCACTCTTATAAA